TCTCTGTGTTTTTTTTTTAAATACTTTTTTTAGAAATTTTGGGGTATTTAGAGTACAAGTGTTTTTCATACATTGGATAATCTGATATAGTGAGGATGGGTGGGTTTTTACATATCCATCACCTAACAATGTACATTGCACTGATAGGTAGTTTTTCTTCCGGCTATCCCCTCCTCCCCCACTTCTGAGGTTCCCCAGTTCCATTATCCCACTCTGTATTCCCTGTTATGCCATACTTAGCTCCTATAAGGACAAACGCTGCGGTTACTTGGTTCCATTTGCTATGTTACTTCACTTAAGTCAAGACTCCGTATTTTCTATGTTCACAGAGAGTATCTCTTTGGTACCTGTACTATGCAAAATTGTCCGACCATTTAACATATTGAGAATAGTCAACCTTGCTACATATCATTCTCCTACTTATGTTGTATAAAATATTTTCATATCATTCCACAATGATCAAGATCCATGTCTTGAGCTCAGGATCGAGACCAGCCTGAGCAAGAGCAAGACCCTGTCTACTAAAAAATGAAAAATTTAGCTGGACAACTAAATAATATTAGATATATATATATAGTATATATTATATAACATACACACACACATACACACACACACGTAATATATATATATATAACACACACACACACCACACATATAAATTAGGGCATGTGGTGCATGCCTATGTCCCAGCTACTCGGGAGGCTGAGGTAGGAGGATCGCTTGAGCCCAGGAGTTTGAGGTTGCTGTGAGCTAGGCTGACGCCACAGCACTCTAGCCCAGGTGACAGAGTGAGACTCTGTCTCAAAAAGAAAGAAAATCATAGGAAGAGAAAATATATTTACTACTCATTAAGTGAAAGTGGATGATTGTAAAGGTCTTTGTCTTTATGGTCTTCACATTGAGTAGGCAGAGGAGGAGGAGGAGGAGAGGTTGATTGTACCTTCTCAGGGAAGAAAATCTGTGTATAAGTCGACTCATGCAGTTCAAACTCCTGTTGTTCAAAGGTCTACTGTATTTTATTCATGGCCAAGGAAATATGGTGAGTATATAAGAGGTGGTGTTCAGATCTGTATAATTCACACTGTACCCTTCCTCAGTATGGAAATTAATACATGGTAAAATAAACAATATGAATACCAAATGTTACTGAGTAAATGTCTTGTATTTTTATTCAAACTAAAATGGCTAAGATAATATCGTGAAGGTGAATATACATAATCTTATGTTGTGTAGTTCCAGAAAATGTATATATCAACCATGAAATGCAAGTTTGCTTTTAATGCTTCACTTCCTGCATGTTGTAACCTATTTAAATGCTAAAATGCATATATAATCAGACCAATACCTGTTTTGTTTTTTTTTTTGTTTGTTTTTTGTTTTGAGACAGAGTTCACTCATGTTGCCTGGCTAGAGCTTCATGGCGTCAGCTAGGCTCACAGCAACTTCAAACCGTGCTCAAGCAATCCTTCTGCCTCGCGCCTCCCGAAGTAGCTGGATTTACAGGCATGCCACCATGCCTGGCTAATTTTTCTAGTATATTTTAGTGGCAATTAATTCTTTCGTTATTTTTAGTAGAGACAGGGTCTCGCTCTGTCAGGCTGCGTCTCAAACTCCTGCACCTGAGCAATGCCGCCCACCTCAGCCTCCCGAGTGCTAGAACGTACGACGCCACCACACCTGCGCCTAGAAAATATCTTTAAACAATCATCTTGAGGCCCCAAAAAAGAATCGAGGAAATATTGCGAGGAAACAGAATCTTTCCAGTCTGGTTCAATAATTTGAACTACTTAAATAGCGTTCCTAAGTTGACTTATGAGTCCCGTGACCTGATGTATCACAGTTTTAGGCTAGAAAAACTGATAATCTGGTGTACATAAACTAATGTAGCTAGTAGAAAAAATCTCTCTTCAAACAATCCTCCTGCCTCAGCCTCCCAGAGTGCTAGGATTACAGGTGTGAGCTACCATGCCCTGCCCCTATGATTTTCTTAACAGCATTTTCTTTTCTCTAGCTTGCTTTATTGTAAGAATACGGCACATAATATGAATAACACACAATATGTTTTAATCTACTGTTTATATTATCAGTAAGTCTTCTAGTGAACAGTAGGCTATTAAATTTTGGGGAGTCAAAAGTTGTACATGAATTTTCAACTGTGTGGGGTTGGTGGGGGTAGCACCCCTAACTCCCATGTTGTTCAAGGATCAACTGTACATCTAACCACACAAGTGAGTGGAAGACAAATTCTTAATGGTAGGAGTGGCTTGCTTATTTATCTTCAAATATCAGTGGTAGAAAACTAGTAGATAAATTCTATAAAGTTTCTTTTATAAATATTTGCAGCTATATTCTAGAAATAACCTTTAAATTATATATGAAATATATACAGAGATTTTGCAAAAAGAATGATACATGATTAGTGGTCCTTTCTGTGTGTTTGCACTTAATAATTGAATAGTTACCATTACTGAAACATAGGGTCACTTGGGCCTACCATTTTAATTGATAATTTCAGTGTTCAATCTGCAAACAAGATGTAAAATGAGTCCATGAGGAAAATAAAGAACTTTGTAGATGTAGATTTCATTGGTTATGAAGTCAGTTTATACCTCTACATTAAAAACTTGTATGTTTCAGCTTAAAACTCTTATTATAAACATTGCTATAAGCTTGTGGTTTTAACGACGTAAATGAAGATAGTTTGCAAAGTTGGAAATTAGTAAGGGTCAAATTCAGCCTTGAAAAGAACTACAAGAACGTACAACCAAATTTTGAGCTAGATTGTGGTGGTAGTGTTGAGGGTTGGAAACTAGTTATTTTGAGCTGTTAAAACAAGGTACCATAGCCTGAGTGGCTTAAACAACAGACATTTTTTTTTTTTTTTTCTCGCAGCTTTGGAGGCTAGAAGTTCCAAGGCAGGGTGTCAACATGGCCAGATTTTGGTGAGAGCTGTCTTCCTGCTGTCCTCATATGGCAGGGTGGGAGGGTAAGGAGTGGAAGTAAGTGCTTTCATGTCTCTTTTTACAAGAGACAAACCCTGTCACCCACCCTCATGACTGAATTACCTCCCAAAGGCTCCAACTCCAAATACCATCATATTGGGAATTGGGGTTTCAATATATGAATTTGAGGGGACACAAGATGCAGTCCATAACAGGGAAAATAAACAAACAAAATGGATGAGGGTATAGACCTAAAAACAATTGTTGCAGACTAGAGATATTTGGGTAAAGAAAAAAAAACATTGAGAGGGAATTCTCAAAGACTGGAGCAATTTAGTTGAAAATTCTTGAAACCCTGCTGTTGAAAACTGAAGTTGGAACTCTACAGAATTGGCACTCCTCATTTCATCTGTCTCAGTATGTTGAGATCAAAAGCATGGACCAAAAGCATGGATCACAATCATCACAAGGTGGCTAGCTGAAAATAGGCCCAGCTATTTAGACTATAATTCCTATATCGATTGATTATCTAGTTGATTAATAAATTATCTGATTCAACAAACTTTTTTGTTGTTGTTTTACTTTGTTCCAGGGACTCTGCCAGACTCCAGTGTGGGAATGAATGAGAAATGGTACCCTGCTCAAGGAGCTGAGAGAGCTAAATTGCCCAAGGACCTACTGATGGAGAGCAGCAGAGCCCACGTGGGAATCCAGGTGTTATGATTTCTGAATGAGTGCTCTTCCCAGGAGGCCATATTGCTTCTGAAGTTTAAAAGTCTGACCAACACCACAGGGAATTCTTGACAGTGAAGTAAGCAAATCAGTATCTCTAACTTATGGTAGGTTATTAAGGTATTTGGGACTATTAAAAACAAACTTGCAGAATCTGAGGTAATGGGCCCTAAAGTCCCTACAATAGGGATCAAACTCTAAACCTAAGAAACATCCCCAAACACAACTACTAAAACATCAAAGATATTGGTTTTAAAATACAAAAGCAGTAAAGCCAGTATTTAAAGTATCAAGACAAGTATTTAAATGTAATTGAGGTCCTTTCTTAATTACTTAATTAAAGCACTTCTACATATGTGGGATAGGGAATCTTCAATTTCCAGCTTGAACAGCTCTTCTGTGCTCCTTGCTGTGGGGAGAAACTTTTAAGACTTGGTAGCTGATTGGATATGTATCCCTTCATCAGGAAAATAAGCAGTCAAAGCAGGGCAAAGGGAACTCACAACTACTGAGTAGCATCCATGCTCCCTGAGTTTTATGAGTGCCATGTCATTTAATTACCAAAACAATTTTATATGGTGGGGATTACTGTTTTCATTTTAATGAAAACTCTAAATTCAAATATTTTAAATACTATGGCCAAGGGCACATAGTTTGTAAATGATACAGGCAGAAATGGAACTAGTCTGGTCTGATTCCAAGGTTCATGTTCTTTGCAGCATACCCTACCTCCTCCGGGGGTTAGGGCAAGATTTAAATGAAAGAAAATACGTCCGAAGGTGAAGTAGGAAGATGGAAGTAGGGAAAGGGCTAACATTTAGATTTTTGTTGAATTGACGAATGTTATCAGCAGAAGACCTGGGTTTATAATCCTCATTATTCCCTGATCAAAAATCACTTTTCCACAACTGTTGTCAAGAAGCAAGCTCAGTTTCCTCCCTCCCTTGTGCTGTATCCAGGAGCAAGCCCTAATACTCTTAGAAGATCTTCTGAGAGAGTCTGTATCTACTGAGAAGTAAGAAGATGAAATCCTGAGCCCTGGAAGTAGATAGCTTATGTTTGAATCCCACCTTTGCCACCAACTAGATGTGTGTAGACAAACTGTTTAACCTTTGTGTGACTTGGTTGTGTCAATGGGGATGCTAATAATAATGCCTAAGTCCTAAACTTGTGGGGAGTAAATAAAATAATACATATAAAGAACTTAATACAGTGTTCCATCTGTAGTGAGTGCTCAAGAAATCCTAGTTTTTCTATTACTTTTAAAGATGAATATGATAGGTATAAATTGCTCCCCTACCCTCAGGGGCAAGAAATAACATATATATTTATATGGTAAACTGAGTTGGCTCCATGTCAAGGATTGGTAACAACTCACTCCCACTCTTTGACGCATCTAAGTTTAGAATTTATGAGTTCTATATTGCAGGAGAAGCATTGTTGATGTCCAGGCTCAGTTGGCCTATCCAGAGATGGTGACTCTATTGCCAAAATAAGAACTCTTCATGATGGCTTTTCTAGCATTTCCCAAATTTCAGCCATTTTTATTCAAAGTTCTACCACTCATTTGATTGGAGTCAGGTCACCACCAATTCCTGAAACCTATACCTGACAATCTTCTTTCTCAGTCTTAAGGATCTAACCATCCATTTTAATTTGGGGCCATTCCCTCTTTAAAATCCTCTGTCCCTGACTCTTCTCAGATCTACTTTGCTGGGCATATTCTCTTGTGTGGCTCTGAAGAAGGTATTCTTTCTTCACCAAGGGTGGGGATGATGGTTAGGAATATCCCAGAACTTTAGGAACACAATTATTGTCTGTCCTTACTGGGGGAAAAGACGTGCCTTTGTTATTTCCGAGAGACATTGCTTCAGAAAAAAAATAACCCAAACTCAAAGTAACAGTGAACTTTCTCAGTAAATTACCTTGCAAGTATGCATAAAACCATGCTACTTGCAAGATACTGTAGGAAATATCGAGAAAAAATTATGATCTGTTCCTTCAAAGCGCTTATCCTCTAGTTAGGCAAATGAAACCAAGTCAAGATCAAACAACTGAGATATCTCTGAGCTTCCTGGAATTTCTATCAAAAAATCTGAATGTCTTTGCAGTGATTGTAAAACATGACAAATTTAACTAAGAGCTAGCTTGGAGAGTTATGTCTCAGCCTGAAGATATACTTTGATGACCGTGATCTTTGTCTTTTTGCTTTAGTGACATAGAGACGAATTGGGTGCTGGGGTATCAGAGAATCTGCCTAGCTGATTAGGCTGCTATAGACATAACAGACGCCATACTTTAAATTAGCTCCAATAGTCTAATCAGACTGAACAGACTACTTGAAGCTGTGCTGGAGACATATTGGCAGCCAATGAAGCCTGTCTAGAGGGATTTTGGTGAAAAACCAAAGTATATAAATACTGAAAGCAGTTTGATTCCATTTTCTTCTAAGTCATTAAGAATAAAAATGTTCCTGGTAACAGTCCATTTCTATCTTAATTTTATTATCTTTAAAGTTTGTCTTTACATATATGAGTTTTAAGAATTATACAAAATAATAATGTTTCTCATTGCATTCATGAGAGACTTAAAAAAATATATATGTTTTTAAACAACACACTCAGGAGCATTTTGATAGTACAGATCACATCATGAAGATGCCCATTACCACCTGGGGCAAAATACACTAATTGCAGATTTAGGTCTTTTGATCAAGGAAGCCAATTACATCTTGATTCTGCAATCTTGAACACATTCATAATCTAAGGAAAATTTACATCACTTGTCATGAAAAGGCATTGAACTTTTCCTCATAATGAACTTTTCCAGAATATATTTATTTTTTTTTTCACATGTTTTTGAACATAAATAGAAAACTGTCCTAAGTCAGGTTTCCTGGGAAACAAAATCTGTGTGGAAGTTTCCAGGTAGGAGGTTTATTGGTGAGTGCTCTCAGGATCAACACCTGTGATGGGGTGATGGCGGGAGAATGGGAAGGAGGAGGCACACCCTCAATCATTAGCTGAGGCTGTCAGCAGTCAAGGGAATGAGTGCCTCAGCATTTATTACAGTCCACTCACTGTGTTTCTTAGATCCATTTGTTCTGGGAATATCTCCTCCAGAATTATGACTGGTCTTTTTTTGAGGGGAAAGTTGCCTGAGAAAGGTTGGCAACTCCATAACTCCATCTGTGCCATTGATCTCAAGACTGCAATTAGTACAACCTCTATGGAAAACAGTATGGGGATTCCTCAAAGAACTGAAAGTAGTCCTACCATTCGATCCAGCAATCTCACTACTACTCAGAGGAAAAGAAGTCATTATATCAAATGGCCTTATATACACCTGCACATAAATGTTTATCACACCATAATTCACAATTATAAAGATATAGAGTCAACCTAAGTGCTCATCAGTACATAAGTGGATAAAGAAAATGTGGTGTATATATACCATGGAGTACTATTCATCCATAAAAAGGAAAGAAATAATGTCTTTCACAACAACTTGGATGGAGCTAGAGACCATTATCCTAAGTGAAGTATCTCAGGAATGGAAAAACAAACACCACATGTTCTTACTAATAAGTGGAAGCTAAACAATGCGTATACATGGTCATATAGTGGTATAAAGATCATTGGAAACTAAAAAGAGGGGAGAGTGGGAGGGAGAGGGGAGAGGAAGAAGGGCTAAAAACTTACCTATTTGGTACAATGTACACCACTCTGATGACGGGCATACAAAACAGCCCTGATACTGCATGATAAAATTCATCCATGTAACAAGAAAACTTGTATCACCTTCATATTTTGAAATAAAAAAAAAAGAATGTATTTTGTACCTTTTGTTTCCTTCCTCTACCATCCTCTGCTACCTATTCCCCTGACACTTGGCTATCATCTCTTTTGGTCTAGGTGATCTAACCTGATGGAATGATCCAGATTTAAATCCTAAAGAGTCTGAATCCCTGGTTACTATGCCCATGGCTGCTGCATATGTCTATTTATCAATAAAATTGGGCAAGGGATTTACAAGAGACTCCAGATGATCACCTGAGTACCAAACATATGCTCCCATTATTTATGAGTAGCCTTATGTTCTCTTATTAATCAGAGTTGTTACCTCTGGCAACAAGGCAACTCTATTTTCTTCCTTCTGGTGTCTTAGGATAAGAAGCCTGATGTGACCAGGTAAGAGCCCTAGCCTAAAGTTTAATGAAATTCTTGTTATGTTCCTTGGTGAAAGCATTCTCCTTTTGGGAGCTAGTCCACTAAACCCACGAAGCCTAGAGTTGCAAGAATAGGTTGCACAATCAGCCAATCTATTCTCCAGTGTCTGTATATGAATCTCTCTCTCTCTCTCTATATATATATATATGTACATATATTTTTTTATCTTAGACCTTCTCTTTTTTTAATACAACACAAATGGTCAGACATACCACCCAAATCTCTGACCAATGTGAGAATTCCCCTCACTGCTGTCACTTGGAGCCACCTCTCACTGGTAGTTCATTTTCAGCTAGTACCATCCTTACTAAAATGACCCATTTCAGCCTGGGCTGTACACACCAAGGCCAGCCTTTTCTGTCACCATTATCAGGTAGAGGGGAACCCATATGAAGCCATAGGCATGAGTTGACAATGGGGCCTGGGCTACTGATTGTCTGTAATGGACTCGTGCTTTTGCCTCTGGACTTGTTTGTGCCTGATCCCGAATGTACCGCTTCTCTTAAATTTCTGGGCACCTAATTACTGAAGGTTCTAATGAAGTTACTTAGAAACAGCTTTATCCTTTCAGTTCTGGCTTTTAAGATTTATTAGTGGGTCCAAGAATAGAGATTATTCTGGGGCTGATTACTGAGACAAGAATTGTCTGAATACCCTACCCCATGAATGATGAGATTGTCCAGTCTGGCTGAGGGAAAAAGGAGCCTTTTTCCTTTGCATGAGCTCCAGGTACTGTTTCCTCTAATCCTTTTGGGTGGTTCTCTTCTGGGATTCAGGTGGTTTCTTCACATGGATGTACTGATCAGTAAGTACTCAGCTGAATATCCCAGGGGAACCTCTGCAGATCTCTGGAACTTTCTCTCTGGGCCACTCTCTGATCTCCAGTACTCTACCCTGTGAACTTTAGCTGCCTTCTTTTTCCTGACTCTTAGTTTGTCTCCTCAACTAAGGAAATCTGCTGAGCTCTGCCTTAGTTTCCCCTCTTTGAGCCACAGCCTGAAAATTCTCTTGACAGTAAGTTCGAACAATCATAGGGCTCACCTTAATTTTTTCATTCTCTTTGTGATCACTGTCTTTCACTGCCTAATGTTAAATATGTTGAAAACCATTGTTTCATTTGTATAGTTGTTTCATGTGAGGACATAAATCTGATCCCCATCTTGGCCTATGTCCTCAATTATTAATATCAACTCGGACCTGGTATTTAACAATCCTGAAATTATCTGTGTATTTCCCTTTTCCCAGTATATGGGATTGGGCATGACAATAGATCACAGCAAACATCTTTACTTAAAAGTGAAACAAAAACCAATTCTCAGATATTAAATATTTTGCTGCCCTTTATGTTTATAACCCATGTGCAGAAAATTCATGTTGTACATGCATATTATTTATCTCCTAGGATTTTATTACTCATCTTCTGCCCTCTCATAGCACTTTGTATATTCATTATGATGCTAATTACCCGTGGACTTGTTGTTTTGCTGCCCAACCTCCATTGTTCTTTCTTACTGGTTCCCTGAATTCTGTTATTGGAATTATGGCTTCTCTATTTCACTCCTCTAACCAAGGTTACTGGATCCAACATGGGTCAATCATGTGCTCCCTCAGTGGACAGAAGATGGTCATTCCACCTGGGCAGGCACATCTTCACCAAACCATTCCTGCTGTGACTACTCTGTGGTGGTTCCCACATCCTATCCTCCTATCTTGCCTTGGTGGGTGTCAGTGCTGTAGGCGGGTTCTCCAGCCTCCGATCAATTCTGAGTCTCCCAATCCATACAAAGTACTTCCTTTTCCATAACACATTCAGAATACATTTCTGCTGTCTATACTCAATAAAACAACCCATCTATCTTCAGTGCTATGGTTATGTGTATTTCTCCCTGCAACTAGTTTGTGAGCCAATGGAAAGCAAGAACAATGGTTTATTTATCTTTGTGTCTTCTGCAGAACCAAGAACAATTGTAGACA